CTATCAGCCTTCTGCGAATTTAGAGCTATTTGCGGCCTCCCCTTGGAGGCGCGTTTCGCTCCCTCCCCCCAGCACCTGCAAGGACGCAGGCTGAGCGATGGTGCAGTCCTGCCCCCGAGTTTCATCATCCAGGGCCCGACGGCGGCGGCGGCGGCGTGCGGCGGGGGCGGGTAGGATGTGGGAGTCAGGAGTCTGGGACTTGACGGCCGTTCTTACTCGTGCCGAACGTGGCCTTCCTCGTTGGCAAACGGAGATCTGCACCTGCAAGGGTTCCCGGCACATAGTAGGCACTCAGGAAATGTTTCTCAAAGAATGAACGCTCAGGACGGGGTAGCTATCATTTTGGGCAAAGACATCTGCAGGCAAAGGCGTCCTGGCTCAACCAGAGAGAGAACAGAGCAAGACAGAATGGAAGACGCCTGGTTGGAGACGCTGACGTCCACGGGATAAGCCACTCGCCTCTCTGAGCCTCAGAGTCTCATCTGCAAGGTACACTGCATTAAACGACTTCTAGGGTCCCTCCCCTTCTTGGAAGCTCTGTGTCTAGGGGTTGTCAGGCAGAAAAACATCCCAGAGCTCCCTCACCCCAACAAACACACACACTCACGTTACATCTGTGAAAGTAGGGGGCAGAAGGTGCTTCAAAAACACAGCAGTATAGGGGCGAAGCTACTAGAAAAATCTAGATTTGAATATGGGTGTATATAGCCACTTCCCGCTTGGCTATGAGCACATCGCTTAGCCTTTGTAAGCCTCGTTTTCTCATCTGTAAAATGGGGTGACACCCTTGCCTCATGGGGCTGAGGGGAAAGTTCATTGAGTCAACTCTGTAAAAGCCAGGGGTTTGGAACCTAGTGGGTGGCTGTCATTCCCCCTTGTCAAGAGAGTGTCATAAACTGATTACCAGTGAAGCGGGACAGGGGATGAGAGACCAAGACCGAAGATCTGAGTATTCCCGTGCTGGCAAACTGCGTGGCCCACCCAGAGCCCTGGGCTGTTATCTGAGCTTCTCATTGCTGGTTCCGCCCGCAGCACCTGTGTCCACACCATCGCCTTCCCAGCCTCTGTCTCGGTGGCCACGTATTCAGTGAAAGATTATCCCCCAGGGAGCTGAGTCTCTCTAAGGACTCTGCTGCCTTCAATGTCATGTTCTCATCGCTCTGCCCAGTTGGGGCGACACACAGCCACACACTACCCCCACCCCACCTCTAAACACGCTTATCCTTGACCTGCTTAAGACGTAAGCACAGTCCCTCACTGTTCACCCAAGGGTCAGTGCACTTCCCGCCATCTCGACCCGTGACCAGAAGGGACAGGGAGCTGGGAGGGAGAGGTGAGTACACATTCATTTATGCACCTGGGAACAACAATGCCCAGAACACAGCCCATCTGCATGGGCTCTCACGTCGTCATTGTAGAAAACGAGCCAGTGTCCCCACAATGGCTTTCGCCAACCTGTCACGATTGCACGAGAAGAACACTGCCTTGCTCTCTTGTGAACCACACTTTCCAATTTGCAAAGCACCTACTTGCCTTTCGCTGCACTTGAACCTGACAGATGTCAGTGAAGTAGAAAGGGCAGGCATTGTCCCCATTTTACAGATGAGGCTCAAAGAGGTTAAGTGAGTCTTTCAGGTGGCACAGTTCCGTGCGGAGCAGGAGCTGTGCTGTGGCCCATATGTATAGGGACCAGCTTGTCCCTGGATTGGGAATTCTGAGCTGCCCCCAGGCCTGGCAGGATGACATAGGATAACTGTAGGGTCAGGAGAGTTGTGACCTCACCCGTTGAGGAAGAACTTGCCTTCAACCCAAGGGGTGTAGTCAGCAGGCGGCCCATGCTCGTCAGTGCCATCGGATTCTGCCTCACCTGCACAGAGGCACCTTGCGTGAGGCCGCCATCACGCCCTACCTGGAGAAGTCTTTGCTCAGTGCCCGGGCAAGGCTTGGACAGGCTGCAACGCTGTTTGCCCCACGGCTTCCCCGCGAGGCGGGCTGAGGATCTGGTCGGACTGCGAATGTTTTCTTTCCTGCCCGATCCTGCTTCCTCCCACTTCCTCTTATAGGAGCCGGTCCCTAATGTGCACCCGGCCCCTCCGGCTTCCTCTCAGTCTCAGTGGTGAAGGCAGATAGCACCCCAGGCCAGGGACCGCTGAAGGCTGGAAGGTCTCAGGAGCTCCAAGAAGGCTAGAGTGACCGCAGGGCAGACAAGGAGGATGGGGCAGAGAGACAGGCGTCAGAGGTGAGCGGTGTCAGGACAGAGGCCAGGTCCCGAATGTGAGAATTTTGGTCTTCACCCTAAGAAAAATTAGAAGCCTCTGGAAGGCTTAAAGTAGGGGAGTGACATGATCACAGTTATGTGTGAAATTCTGCTGCATGGAGGCTGGATCGGAGGGGGCAGAGGGGGTGCAGGAGGATGAACTGTGGTATCGACAAGGTGCAGTGCTGGCCTGGACTAGGGTGCACTAGGGTGTGGGTGATGGGTAGTGGGCAGGCTCTCCTGCGTCCCTAGAACCTGACCTGCTACCTGGCACACAAGTTCTCAGTAAGTGTTTATCAAATGAATGAATGAATGAATAGTGAATGAATGAATGAAGTAGGGTCTATAAGGTCCATACTTTTGAGTGTTTTTAGTCCAGCAGGAGACGGGCAGTATGGTAAGGGAGTGAGTCCCCAGGGGTGCAGAGCAGCCAGTCCTTGGGGTCATGAAGGGCACCCCACTCAGCAGGGGGGGATAAAGGACATTCGTAAATAACCACAGAGCAGGACAGAAAGAGGAACAGATGGGTACTATGGGGCTGCAGGGAGGGATGGATGACTCCCCAGAATGTCAAATCACGTTCAGGCTGGGTGCTTGGGTGACTCCAGGACACTTGGGGAGCCAAGAAGAAGTTAGTGCCCTCAGTGATCAAACGCCTTGGCTAAGGGGCCTGGGCAGCCACTCTCGGTGTGTTCAAGGGCCCCCTGAGTGTTTGCTTCCAGACCTGCTGGTTCTGGAGCTGCGGGGCTGGCCTGGACCGGGGCTTCTCTTTCATCAGAACTCAGGTGCAGTGAACTTGGGGAACCACAGGCGTAGGGCAAGCCTGCGGGGGGCGGGGGTATCCAGATCTGAGAGGTCTGAATTCTGGTTCCAGATTGGCCGCTAGTCTGATGTGTGTGTGACCTGACGTGTGATGAGAGAACTAGCTGCATTTCCACCTGATGTCTGAGTTTCTGGCTCTTTTGAGAGCTTGAAGACGTTCTGTCCTCCTCTTCCAGCCCAGCTGGCTCCCCAGGCACAGCTGCCGCCTCTGCTCACGGCGTCTCGGTTTCCTTCCCTGTCGGCGAGGTGAGGACAGTGTCCACCTCCGAGGGGTGCCGACAATTAAAATGGTGTTCTAAAAATGTGTTTTCCTGATGGATATTTGGGTAGATTAAAAGATCTGATCATTTTTAACGGTGCGTATCTTGGAGTGGTGGGATTTTTGATGACTCGTTTTTCTTTTGCTTAATCTGGTATCGGTTTCTTGAAAAATAATGATAAAAAAGAAAATTAGCTTTAAAAATACGAGCTCAGACCATGGGATCCAGCACTTCCGCTTCTGGGTATATACACGGAGGAATTGAACGTATTTGTACACTCACGGTCACAGCGGCGTCATTCACAGAGCCAATGGGTAGAAAGAACCCAACTGTGCATCGACAGATGAATAGATAAACACAGTGTGGATAAACAAAATATAATGGCATCTTACTCAGCCTCTCAAAGTCAGGAAATTCTGACACATGCTAAAACGCAGATGAAACTTAAAGACCTTATGCTAAGTGAAAAGGACAGAGATTGTATGATTTCGCTTATATAAGAGGTACTTAGAAGAGGCAAATTTATAGACAGAAATGTGACTAGGTTACCAAGGGCTGGGAGACAGGCGGAATGGAGAGTAAGTGTTTAATGAATGGGGGACAGAGTTTGGGATGATGAGAAAGTTCTGGACATGGGGGAGGGTGATGATTGCGTAACAATGTAAATGTACTTAATGCAGCCGAACCGTACACTTGAAAATGCTCAAAACGGTCGATTCGATGTTATGTATATTTTACCATAATAAGAAAAAATAATAATAAAGATTTCCTGTGTAACCTAAGAAAATTTGAAAAAGGAAACAATGTAAATTTTAGAATGCTTATGGCTTTGTTTCAGAGGTGGCTACAGAGCTGACTCTGGCGGGTAAGGAGGCATTTGCTCTCCCGTTCTGTCTGTCTGTCTGTCTCTGTCTCTGTCTCTGTGTCTCTCTGTCTCTCCGTCTCTCCCTCCGTCTCTCCCTCCCTCCTCCACCCGTCAGCTCCCATCCCTGCCCCTCATGTAACCCTTTCTACATAAGGGCGTCATTTTTTAAAAAAGTCAGGCTTGAGTTTTTAGGGTAAAGTTAAGGGGGTTTCATCGAAACATCACGTGTTCTGAGTCTCTTCAAAGCAAATTAATTGCGTCTCTAACAAGCAAATATTAGGTGAGTGAGCCAATAGCCAGGACACATGTATCCGGTAAGCTTTGAAGATGACATGCAAAGTGAGTTAAAGATAAACTCATGATCCAAAGCCGGGCTAGACACAGGTGACTGGCACATTCGACCTAAGTGTAATTTGTGGTGATCGAAACCGAATAGAGCGGTATTTGTAGGTCGGCATTGCATTGGTGACATTTCAAAACACCAGCAGGCACACCGTGGCCTTGGCAGCCGACCTGACAAAGTGCAGGAAGTTCTGGAGAGTGGGGGTGGCGGGGAGAAAGCACGTGTCTACCTTCAGGAGCGGGTACAGCCTCTTCCATTTGGTGTACGTTGTCCCCAACCCCTGATTTCTTGTCTAGCAGGCACATGAGGACTCTCACATGAGCTCTGCCATACAGGACATTTGGGCAAGAGTTCAGAAACGGCCCAGGCCACTAGCAGAAAAATCCTCGGCAGCCCACTCAGTGACTGCAGCTGTTCAGCGCCCTGCAGCCCAGACAAAATGGTAAGCAAGGCTCAAATCAATATTTCCAGCCACTTCGCCTCGGCTTTTTCCAGATAGTGTCTTGAGGAGGTGACGTAATCTTTCAATCAGAGAAGCCTGCGAATACTTTCGGGCCCTTGGAACTTGGGAGAAAAACAATATTTATGCAGTCCCGTGAGCCCTTCTGCTTTGTAGTTCTCATTTACTCATTCAAGTTTTTAATTCTAGTTTGGATTCATTCTTCAGACCCCTCTGTGCTATAAGAAGGGAAATCTCTTCCCGATTTTGTGCCTGGAGAAACAGGCACAGATGTTTGCCTAAAACATTATCTCTGATTTGGGTTTAGCACACGGCTGGCCTGGCACTAAGCTTTCTTTAGTCCTAGTAATATTATTAAAATTACAGCGAATATTTATTAAGCAGTTTTAACGTGTTGGCACTGTGCTGAGCGCGTTACTGCATTACCTCGGATCGGCCCTGCCATGTCTTTGCTGCTGTGATCCCCATTACACTGATGGGAAAACTGAGGTTCGGAGAGATTGGGGTACTCATCAAGATCACCTGGCTGGTAAGTGGCAGAGCTGAGACTTGAACTTAGGATCTCAAAGGTTATTTATTAAAGGCTCAGTCCCACAGAAGTTCCCCCACTTCCGATGCCAGCCACAAGTGGAGTCCCCAAGCTCCCCGCCCTTCTGCCCAGACCACTCCAAACTCAAGGGTTCCCACGTCCCCTGACTCAGATTCAGTAATTCTCTAGAATGACTCATAGACCTTGGGAAATTGCTACACTTATGAGATGACACTTTGTTATAAGGGATACCACTCAGGAGAGGCCAAAAGGCAGAGACGCACAAGGCAAGGAACAGTGGGGGCCGGTGACACGGGCCCTCTCTGGGCGTGCCACCCTCACGGCACATTGATATGTCCATCCACCCACAAGCGCCCTGAGCCGCCTAGTTCCAGTTTTTCTCATGACTTCATTACGCAGACAGGACCCATTCTGTCACTGACCATGGGTCATTGAACGCAATCTCTAGACTCACTGACCTCCCGGGAGTTTGGAGGGGGAAGCCGAAAGCTTCCAAACCCCTAATCTCAGCAGGGCCAGCCCCTCCCTAGAAAGTATCTAAGGGCTCCTTTGAGCCACCTTGTCAACATGAACGCAGATAGGGCTAAAAGGGCCTTGTCACAGATAACAAAAGACACTCCTATCACTCTGGAAATTCCCAGGGTTTTAGGAGCTTTGTGCCTGGAACTGGGCACAAAGACCAAATCTACCTTTTATTATATCTGAACAGCCTGTAGTTGAATCCTGTTTTTTCAAAGCCTTTCTGCCATCTATATCTTTTGATTGGGGCGTTTAATCCATTTACATTTAAAGTAATCGCCGATAAGAAAAGAATTACCGTTGCCATGTTGTTACTTGTTTTCTGGTACGTTCTATAGGCTTTTTTGCCGGGGTTTATTGAGATCTAATTGACATAGGACATTGTGTATGTGATTTGATACAAGCCCTACAGGATGATTTGATACAAGCACGTGTTGTAAAATCGTTACCACGCTAAAGCTAGCTAGGACGTCTGTCACCTCTGATAGTGTGTCTTAGCGACTTTCAAGTATACAATAGTGTCGTTAACTGTAGTTACCATGCCGTACTGTGAGATCTGCATGATATCCACATTTGTGGATATCACAAATATATAAAATTTTTTTACCACAAATTTGATACCACAAATATATAAAAAATTATATATTTTCTTTGTGGTTTCCACAGGGATTACATATAACAACCTATTTTCTTTTTTCGTTCTTTGTTTTTAATTTTAAAACTTTTTGTTTCCACCCTCTATTTCTCATCAGGCGACACCTGCAGTATACATACGTTCACTCTTGTTTTCCTTCTGGTTTAGTTCCATTTCTAAAGTAACTCTTACTTCTACCTCATTTTTCCTGAGTTTTATCATTTAACTGCCATGTTTTTCTAGCTCTAATTTATGTTCATCTCGGCAATCTCACATCTGCCGAAATGACTCCGGCTCGTTTTGAAAAACTAGTTTACACCTTGCTCCAGCTTTGTCGGGGGGAACTTGGTCAGTCAGCTTTGGGCGTCCATGTTCTGTCTGTTGCTCCAGCCCCTTCGAGTCTCATCAGAGCCCCCTTGTCCTCACCTGGTATTGAAGGCAAACGGAACCCCTGTTAACTTCACCGCTTTGCTCAAATCAGCCCACTCTGCCTCCCCTCCAATACCGTTTGCCAGCCCATCAGACGCTATGTTTCTGCCCTTTGCTTTTTGCACAAATGTGGATATCATGCAGATCTCACAGTGTATGCGGTGATTGTCCTCACTCTCTCGTATTTTGGGGTTTTGGAGGACACCTTATCATGTGGCCTTGCTGTGGATGTTGTCCATAGGGTTTGGGTTTACCATGTAGTCGCTCTGTCTGGTTTTGCTTGTTTGTCTGTTGTTTTGCTTTTCATGGGGAGAGGATTCAGGGAGATTAGAAAACTATGCCACTTCTGTGTCTATCCAGAATTGTTAGGGAAGGAAAAAGAGCCAGGAGAGCTCAGGAAGCGAATTATTACAGTTGCTCCCGTGGCCAGGCCAGGACCGCGTGCCGTGTACTTGAACCAGGGCTAGGTGGGGGTAGGAGGGGGTGCTCGCAGGAAGCGAGCATTCACGTTTTTGAATTCTCTACCAAAGAAGCAGAAATACAACAAATGTTTCCTATGTTTCATCTGAGGGGATTCTGCTACTTTTTACAGAAGATATGCTGACACTCATAATGAACCTTATCTATTTTAAAGTGAATTTTTGATTTTACGAATAACTTACATATATGTTCCTTTATGAGAGATGAACACATAGATAAGGCTAAAGTCCTCTTCGACCCTCCTCCTCACCACGCCAGGTCCGCTGGCTGTTTTCCGATGCCTGGCTGACTCTGTCCTGTCTTCAACTAACTCCTTGTCCATGACCCTTTTCCCTGCTGAGAGAACATTGAAAGGCATTGTAACATTAAGCAGAGTTACATGTAAGTATGACGGCGAATCCACTAATAGCCATTTCGGGGGGTGATCTGTGCTGTTGCCCTTTTTGTACAAAAGTGTAAAACCTGAGAACAGCTGAGGATTTCAGAAACGTGGCTCTTTGCCTGTTCTGTGTGGTGAGGCCTCAAGTCACGGCTTCCTTTTTGAACAGTGAGCTTCTTGTTCTCGCACAGCTTTGGTAACTGATGGGCTTTTTGGCTCAGCTTTCACAAGCTTTATTGAGATCGTTTTAATTAGGATGCGTTATGATTCAAGTTGCAGAAAACGCTACTCATGTTCACTTTTTAAAAAGGACGTGTAGGCTCCTGGAACCAAGCAGTATGATGATATTTGACACTTCGGGGTTCAAATCGGGTCGTGGCAATCAGGTCAACTTCTTGCCAACTCCAGGGTCTCCGGTTACATTGTGTGGCAAGAGCCCAACACCGCGCGTCTTGGCGATGCCCCGAGTCCTGTGCCATGAGTCCCTCCGTTCCTGTCTCTCTGTTCACTTCTGCGTGGCAGGCTCCCTTCATACAGTGAATGGGCTGTGCTAGCTCATCTCTCCACCTTCTCCATCACCAACACCAGGAGAGAATAGAGGATCTCTTTCTCTCAGAAGCACCGGGAAAAGCCCCGTCTTGACTCATCGGTCTGACTGGGTCACAGACCCAGCCTGGAGCCGACCGCTGGGATCACGGGAACACTGACGTGCCCATGGCCAAGGTTAGCAGCTTCTCCAGAAGCTCCCGAAGAAACAGTGAGGGAAGAGGGGGCCAGGCACGGTTAACGGAGTGCAGCTGTGACGAGGGACAGCTCCACCTGGCTTGGATGGCACCTCCTCTTCTGAGGCAGCATGTCACAGTGGTCGAGAGCCACGCGACCTTAGTCTAATATTGGCTTTACTGCTTAAGGGCTGTCCGTCTGACCTTGGGCCGGTTACCACGCCTCTTTGGGCCTCGGTGTCCTCCTCTGAAAAGTGGGGGATGATAGCACACCCCCATGAGATTGCTGCGGCGTGAAATCGACTAAGTATGCATAAGACACTTAGAACAGTAGTTGGCGTGGGTCGAGGTCTAGGTAAAAGTCTTTGCCATTGTCGCAGGTGTATCGATCCTGAGGACAGAATAGGAAAATGCTCCACGTGGCAAATAGCGAGTGAAGGGCAGGGGTCCTTCGGCCTTAGGCTGTGAGACACAGTGACTTGCAGTGACGCTTTCAGCAGCTCATCGGCTCGTCCTTCCTCTCAAGGGACGGGAAGCTCCCGGGTTCCACACATCTGTGTGCGGGCGTGAGGACATGACTGTGGAAGGCCACGAGGGACAACCCGTTGTGAGATTCGATTCATATTGTTCCGAGACTTTAGACGCTGATTCGTGATTTCACTGCCAGCCTGGGGACCAGCCGCTGCTTCGGTGACGCGACGCACCGATTGACTTACAGACCGCTGACAGCTGCCCTCTCCGCCTAACACGGCCATTCCACAAATGACCCGGGGACCACTAGAGGAGAGACTGGGGAGTGTGATGGAACTTTCTTCCCAGTGAAGTGTAAACTGTCCTTAGGAATAGAGCTGTCTTAATAAATCCCAGGTCTCAAACGTGGTAATTAAGAGAAGCCTGAAACACCACAGAGGCTTGACTTCCAGGGCTTCCGTTCGAACCCCCAAACGTCGGACCCCCGCCTGGGTCCTGGCCTGGCATCTGACTGCCCTCGCAGCCTCCTCCACCCCTGTCTTAGTAACAGTCTCAGACCCTGGCGGCAAATGGCACGCGAAGCCGAGCACATTTTATTCTACACAGACGGGATTATATAAATCTTCCCGTTTTAAAGTAATTTCCTTCGCCCTTTATTTCTTTTGTGTGGTTGTAGGAGTCTGCTTGGATTCCTAATGAGCCATATCCCTGGCTGGCTTTATCCTGTTTTAAGAAAAATCTGATAATTCCATTGACTTTCATCCGGGTGTTCACACGTTTATTGAGGACCTACTATGT